ATAAATGTTTAATCATTTCTATCAATAAATAATAATATTTTATATATTAATTATGTATGCCGAAATTTATACAGGTTATATATTAAAATTATATAGAGAATTATATATTTATTATACATATATACACACCTTAGGTATAGCTTTTTCATTTGGTGCACTCAACTCTACAAGGCACGTCCGGCTATACCCACTCTGATAGAGCTGACTGCAGTACACAACCGTCTTGGTCTACAATGAAGTGACCACCCCCCCAAAGAAGGGCGCTAACTAAAGAACCCTCTTTAGAACTCGTAGTTCGAGGAATTAAAACGGCTTTTTAATACTACTTAATGGCATTATGTCCAGCCACTCTTTGCTCAAGTCTCTCAAATAACCCCCAAGGGTGCAAGCAGGTCTCCACTAGCCCTACCAGTCCTGCAGTTAAAATAATCAACCTAGGCATCTCCTAGAGGATCGATTGAAAAATTGGGGTGATGTCGTGTAGCGATGCTTTCTAACACCTTTCATTATCTTCTTGACATCATCAAGGGAATTACCCTTGACGGTGATGTTCTATGCTCTTAGTATACCTAAACTAACCCAAGGATCATTAATCTTCTTCTAATTAAGTAAAGTGCAATCCGTGTGGCAAAATGATGGAGATCAATGACTCCGTAGTATATAGTTGTACTGTCACCTATAATACGTATAATATTATATTCATGATTTCAAAATTATTGCGAATATTTTTGTTTTAATGTGTTTCTTGAATTCATGATATTAAATACGTACCACATTTGATAATCGATTCAGGAAGGAGGATCGAAGGGTAAGTGCCATTAGATAAAATGAGGACTCTGTAAGGAAATTGAAGGAAAGGAAGGGTCCAAATGGGAAGATGAGGGCATCAAGTGAACGACCTCACGGTTGAAGGGAGTTTCTCGTAGTTCCTGATGACAACTCGCTTTTTTTTTTTAAGAACGCAATAATCCGACGTGTATATCTATGGAATCTCGAGATACCGAGCTTGATATCATAATAAAGAAATAAAGATTGAAGCCGTGACGAAACGGCCAGCGGAGATTTCCCGGATGCACCAATAAAAAGCCTAGAAAGAAAGATCTCTCTACTTTACCCAAGGAAAGGACCTCTATGGTGACCAGAACTCTGATAAGACGATATTCTACGGCTCTTCCCGTAGAGGACGTCCATCTCGTAATAGAGGTGGCTATCGCATCTCGAAAGGCCTCAACTGGCGTTCCTGTCTCTACCGATAAACACCAAGTATCAGGAAAAAGAATGCCCTCAAGGAGAAGATTCTCTTAAGAAAGGAACTCTTAAGAAAAGGGAAAGAATCATGAAAGGGATCCTTGTGATTTTCGCAAAAATCGTCAACGGGTATACGGAGAGTATTTTTCGCGTTTGGTAATTTCCCGTACCTTTGGAATGATATGAGAGAAATCATGTCACTTGATATACAATGTTGAGGAGATAAGTCATTGATAATGCATCCTATTTCCCGAGGAAATTTGGACCATGTCTTGAAACGTCACTCATTCGGGATAATTATACATCTCTATCCTTGCTTACCTGACTAGGAACACCATCCTAACCGGGACGGTCTTATCTCTTGTTCTACTATTTGATTACATACCCTAGGTCCAAGCCGATGGAAATCCGACGACGACTCTAGAATACCTGACATATCTCTATGTAGGATAATGTTTAATTGGACGTTTCTAACTCGTTGAGGAATTACGGAAATGGGATTTGATGGAATGCCTCCTACCGTAAATACACTCTGACTTGACCATGAAGAAGGTGCCTACAGTCAGTCTCAGCTCGAGGGCGCCGTCTCACTCAGCGAAGGAATGGAACTTATCGTTTAATTGGACATAGGCGCGTCAAGGGAGCAATTAGGGGAAATTGAGAGTGTGTATGCGACGGTGTGTATAATAGCATATACGTGTCTGACTTTGCCGACCCTCCAGGATTGTGGTGAGGATGACATTTCTTTAATTGAAAGGATGCTGGAGCAAAAAGGTCCCTGCGCATTTAGTACTACAACTTATTATTGTCATTTCATTTGCGTTTAAGCTTTAACTATTACGAACGGAGGCAGATAGTCCTACGCTTGAGTTCTTTATTCTTTTATATGTCTACATCTGTTTGACCATTCCTTTTAGCTTTACTTCCTTAGTTTCGGTATACAGACCCGCGGAAAAAAAGAAAGTATGGCTTTCGTATTGTAACAGTAATCCACAATATATTAAGATATATATTTTGGTATTAGAAATGTCTCGTTTATTGGACAGATACAGACTGTATAAAATTAGTATTGAATTAGTATAGGAAACAGGATATTTGTTAAAATTCTAAACAGGTGTAGATTTTGTCTAATGCTTACATCTACAAAATATTTTTCTATATCTAATATATGTATATGTACAATATAAAAATCCATAAGAGGAAACAATTAAACGTTTATTAGAATTGAATATTAAGATATTCTAAGGTATTTTTTGTTGCCATTTTTTCAAAGATAAGAAATGTGATAAACATAATCCCCAACTTTTAATATCACATATATCCATGCATACATTTATATAGAATTTGTATTATTCATTTAAAAAGCACGGGCGTTAGAGTGTCTCAGACAGCCTACGCGCTTACTCCTGGGTTAACGAATCTGTGAACTCTCGCTCCTATATCGGATTGTATCGAAGACCCTTAAAATACATGTGTAAGTCGTACGGAAATAGTATGAGAAATGAGATTATTAGATTCCTTCTTTAACAATTATAAAGTATATATATATACACTAAACTGTATTCCTCTTCTACACCTCTTGAGCTAAAGTAATAGTGCAACATTGTTTTGATTCTCTTCTACTTGGTATGCTCAGCAAACCAGCTCTACTTTTATTGGGAAATGATCCAAAGTATCACGTTTCAAAGTCCTAAAGTCTTTACATACATTCAGTTCTACGGCGCTCATCTAAGTATAATCCATTGTCGTGTCAGATCTTCTCCAGAATGTAGAGTTGAACTCTTGAAGAGTTCGACTCCGAGCGACAATTTAACGTGGTTAGATCTAGTTTCTAAAAATTATTCAGTAACAACAGATACCATTTCCATTGTTAGCTTTGTGGCTTGATTGCCTGTACCCTGTGAAACCCGTGCCCGCCATCATGCCCTCGTCCAGCTGGTTTAGTTCCTCAAATCTGGCATTGAAATCTCCACTTACGAATATAGGACATTATAAATTTTCTACTAATTGTAAGATCAAAATATACTCCAACAATAACATCAATCCTTTGTTATAATATTTCTTTCTTAGTTATACGCTTATATATGTAGAATGTAGATACTTCCTCGTTTATCGGACTTTTAATTGCAATCCATATTTCCCTAGATTTCTAAAGTCTCGGTTAGTCTTGTTCGTAATAGCGTGCAGTTTCTTTCAGCTTTAGTCCCTCATGAAAATACCACGTCTCGCTCACACCGATTATCGCAGCTTCTGACTAGTAATATTTCTTCCGAAGTATTTTCTAAGCAGTCCAACGTCGTCTGTACACCTCTCACTTTTCGAAATGCTTTACTTGGATCTCGCCTTTGCAGAGCTGCTTTAGCGTTTGACAAGTTTATATTAAATATTAATTCTGTTATGCAGACATCACGTGTATAAAAGTTCAAGATCATCTACCTTTGGCCTAGGTGTACTGGTTTATGGAGTCTGCCTATTTTCGTTCATACTACATCATGTCGTTGGAATGCATTTTTCTTATTAGTCACCTGAAAACTCACTAGGGTGTTCTTAATACTACTGTATTCCTTTCTGATCCCTTGCATATCAGTATTCATACTCCATAGCATTCGCATAATATCTTCATGTCCGGACAATGCCAGTTCTATCGCCGCCTCACATATTACGCGGCTGACATTTTGCATGTTCGAATTACTTGTGTCTGTATTTCTCTTCTTTGCCAAGAGGTCTGTGATTTTAGTTCCGATGACTTTCGAGCTAGGAGTCTAGCGACTGTTTGGTCACTTACCAATTCACTGGGCAGTCTCTGTTTTAACCTTTCTCTTCAACACATATTTGCTTCAATTTCACCTAGTAATGATTATGAGTGTTGGTAATTATTCTTTATACATGGTCTGCCACTTTTACTGGATCGAATTGATCATAATTAATTAACTAAAGCAATTTAAGGATTTAACAAAATTGTAAACTTAGAAAATAAACATTGAAGCGTTGTCTATGCGTTACTTGTGGCGCCCTCTCAGCTAAGAACGACTACTTGTATTCAATTAAATCTGGATTCTCGTCGACCGCGCTGTCCTTGGATTTAATGCTTTTGAACATTTTAACGAGAGTTTAAAGGATTACTGAAATTAATTCCTTGATCTGCCGATGCCAAAAGAACTAGTGAGTAAGTTGAAGATCTGTAATATTAGTACTGGTTAGGTAGACCTTCAGCCGCAATAATATTGTACTATTCTGTAACGGTAAATTGTACGATGTCTAAAGAAGGTCCTCATCGAGAACGTTTTAGTCCGCTACGCGATGCGCCTCGTGAATGACTTTTCACGATGGATCCAAGATTTTTTGTTTGATTCTTCTCGTACCTTACCAGATGCCAGTTGTCGGATCCGTATCTGTAAAGGTGATTGCTTTTCCACCGGATCGGGACTAAGAGTTGGTAATCCTGTTAATGGATGGTCGAGAAGTTTCGACGCGGTTGAGCAGCGTATTCTTTGACTAGAAGGACTTCTCAAAGAAGCCGCTTCTCGAATTCGTTTCGTATCGGGCTATCGCACATTTGAATATTTTTCCCTACCAACCTCCACTCTCCATTTCTGTCCTAGTTTTATCTTGTGACCGCCCCTTTGCATTTCAGTCGTACCTCCCTTGACCTTGTACTGAGAGAACGTTTCCTTGGAAATGCTAAAAATATATATATAAATATGTTTGAAGGTAGTAGGAATATCTGGTCAGTTAGTTTTTGCCACCTATGAATCTATGTATTGTTTCAGGTGAACGGACAGGACGTTTCAAACTCTAGTCACGAGGATGCGGTGCGATACTTCCAATCGGCTCAGGAACCGATCATAGTTGAAGTACTGAGAAGGCAGCCTGGACAGCAGACGGCCGCGCAGACATCCAACAAGGAACCGGAAACAATAGACACTCTCCCAGTGGAAGAAAGGCCGGTGACCACCGAGAATTGTAAAAAGGATCCTGAAAGTCCCTTGGTGTCGACTGGGGTGCAAACCGACTGGGCTGGATTAATAGAAGAGGAAGAACTCTTACCAGGAGCATTGAATCCCGAGGAACAGACGAACGACAGCTTCGAGGACTTCTTGCCACACGACATCGACTTTGAAGTAATTCACTTGGTCTTCCCAATGTACTGCCCTACTTCGAACGAGGAGACTGAACGTTCCTTTGTCTTATGTTGCAGGAGGTAACTCTACGCAGAAGCGGTAGCGCAGAGAAACTCGGACTGACAGTCTGCTACAGTTCCGGTTCTGGTAGCGAGGACGTGGATACTGAAGTCTATATCTCTGAAATAGTTCCTGAAAGTTTAGCAGCACGTGATGGCCGATTACGCGAAGGCGATCAAATACTGCGGGTAAGTCTTTTTAGAAAATTTTGAAGAAAGATACACAGATTTATAGTCGGTTAACGAGTTCAATATGTTTTTTTTTTATAGTTCGCAAACAATGCAATCCTTAATCAATCACGCGTGGGTTTCCATAATTTTTCTGAAAATGTATGATAAAATAGAAAAATAAAATATAATTCATCAGGAAACCATGCACGTGCATACTTTGTAAGAAAAATTCTATGAGGAGTCACATTGTGCTTACTAAAGACTTCGTTGTTTTCAATCTGTTAAAAAAACACATCAAACTCGTGAATCAACTATAGAAGGGAATAAGGGTTCATCACGTAGACTAGAATTTAATCACCATAATTACAGAAGACTTCCATGCAGGTCCGGTAATTCCTTAGAGTCCATTTTTTGATTCTTAAATTATTTCCGTCATCCTTGGCTAACATAGAAGAAAAAATTTCAGTTTCGCTGTTGACGCTGATGCCTCGCTAGACAACGTGATATCGCGTCAGGAACATCGGCTTTCTGCCGCTTGAATCCCTGTGTAATCCCGTTAGGCAGATTATAATTACGAACAAAGTGGTCGGGGCGGCGGTGGTGGTGCTTTACCGCTAGCGGATGCGGATGACTTGGCTGGGGATTTGTCCCGTCTGACTTTACCACCACCACTGACGTCGTCACCTCCCTGGGATAGTATCGCGGCGTAGCAGCCCCCATCTGGAACACAGAGA